GAATATATATAGATGGTCAGGTAGTTACAGTACCCTCCTGAATTAAAAAGAAAATGACACAAATGGATCCCACTTATTTAAAACTATGTATTAAAATCTGTCTGAAACAATGTTCCACAAAATACTATTGGTGATTTTTCTTCTGTGTATAAGTTGTTTATTTTTCTTTTTAAATCAAGTTTCTTTTCTTTCTGTGAAATGTTCTATTTGTATTAAATTTTCTCTAAACAGTAAACTAGTAAATATCATGGAGACAATGCAGCAAAAAGTTCCACAGGGTACAAAGAAGGGACAATAGAGTTCTGAGAGTTGATTTTGGTTCATTAAATTCTAGAGTTGGTAGCTGTGTTAGTTTTTTCATTACTGTAATAAAATATCTGAGATAATCAAATTGTAAGGAAAAATCACTTATTCTGACTCATAGTTTCAGAGGTTTCAGTCGATCTTTGTTTGATTCTATTGCTTTGGGCTTGTGCAAGGCACAATACCATGGCAGGGAGTGTGTGGTGTAGCAAAGAGGTTCACTTCCTGGTGGCCAGAAGCAAAGAGAGAGAAGGGACTGGGGTTTCAATGGCCCCCTTTTTTAGGGTACACCCCAGTGATCTAGCTTCCTTCCATAGACCACAACTCCTCAAACTTCTACCCATCCCAATAGCACTACAGGCTGGCAACTAATCATGTAACACAAGAACCTTTGAGGAAACTCAAGGTTCGAACTTCGTCATGTGGGTCAGCAGTGTCACTGGGACTCTGCAACACCTCCCTCTCTAAGCTATTCCAGCAACATCCACTAGAAATATCCAGCAACTCTCCATGCCCTCCCCCATCCCCTTGGCAAGCAGCACAGGGACAGTTAAGCATGGAGCCACAGCCCTCATTCCACCCTGCCCTTCGATATTCAGATTGGAAAGCCATAATCTCAGCACAATGTCTGCACACCCCACAGCAGGAACACTAACATTCTATCTTTTCTCAAATGAATCCATTCTCAAATGAAGACTTTCCAAAATTATATAAAGACAAATGCATATGCAATTTTGTGAAAACATGTCCACAAATAAGCTAGTGGTATTGGTTACAGCAAAATTGATAAGGGTAAAAATGCCACAGCAGCAGAAAAGAGGCAGGAGCTGCAAGCTCAGCATTTCAAGCTACAGATTCCTGGGTGTGCAGAGGGAAGGAGAGATTTGAGAATAGATTTTTGTTTTTGACAGGAATTTGAACTTAACACAGCTATTCCTGCCCAACATTTTGGATAGCTGTGGCTCCAGAGGTGCCACCAATGGGGAACACACTATAATATTGAAAAAGTTGTACTACTCCTAAATTTGTTTATGGAGAGATGTAAGTACAACATTGCTAAAGCAAAGATGCTGGTTCCTTGTACTGGCAGCTGGTGAAGATCAAATAGAAATGAAAATATTTTTATTTATAAACTACTATTTTATATTTAAAAATAAAACTATTAGACTTTCTTCAATTCTTTTGATAATATATACTTGAAATATTTAAACAGATGTAGGCTTATGTCATCTTGCCACAATCCCATAAAATGCTGGAGTAGGCTTGGATATACTGAGAGCACACTACTCCCTATAAAGCTCACTTATTCCCCATTTTGCTTTCTCTCATTAACAAAAGTCAGGCTTTTGCACACAGGGAGCATTCACCATCAAGGTGGCTGACAGAGGGTGGATACAAACAACTGAAAAGCAATCTAAAAGCAAAAAACCATGGTAACCGGGAGTTTTCCTAGCCACTAGAGGGCAGGAGTGGAGCAGTTTGTAAGGGAGGAGGGGCCAGGAAAGAGACTCTGGCCAGAGTTACACCCCAGTCAAAGCATGAGGATGCCACATCTATCCAAGGGTCACATCTCCCGAAACACCTGATCCACTTTAGAAGCAGGGTTCTAGACTAAGCATTAGCACACAGATAGCTTATACTTATCATGGCCCTGTGAAGAAAGAAGAGGACACAGTCCTTATCACATTAGGAGCAATATAAAAATACATTATGAAGCTGGGCGTGGTGGCACACGCCTGTAATCCCAGCACTTGGGAGGCTGAGGCAGGAGGATCACTGTGAGTTCCCTGGGCTACATAGTGAGTTCGAGATCAGTCTCAACTACATAGTGAGACCCTGTCTCAAAAAACCAAAAACCAAACCAAACCAAAACAAAACATTATGGTAGGTTAAATAAACCAGACACAGAAGCACAAACACTGTATAATTATACTTGTATAAAGTACCTGGAACAAAGTCATAGAGACAGAAAGTAGAATGCTGTCTTCCAGCGAATGGGGAAGGGGATTGGAAAGTTAATGTTGAATGGGGACAGTATCAGTCATACAAAATGAATATCGTTCTGCAGGTTGTGGTGGTGGTGGTTCCACAATGCAAAAGCCACTAAATTGAACACTTAAAAGTGGTTAACATGGTAAATTTTGTGTTACACATGTTTTATCACCATAATCATGAATGAAGTTTAAACAGTGAGAAGCCTGAATATCCTGAACAAGTACAAGATAGGTCAGCAGTAAGGTACAAGGTCCTGCCATTAGTCCAGGGTTAGGACACTATCTCTACCAGATAATCTAACTATAATCTTTTGCCACTGCAGTGACATCGGAGGCTGGAAGAGCAGCTGGGTCAAATATCCTACCACCAAAGATGGTTTCTGCTTCAGAAGAGATGCTTTGTGAGCCTTCAGCATCCAGCCACACAGCTTCAATGCTCCTGCCTCTGGTGCACAGTGACAGAGTTGCTCAGAGTTAACTGTGAGCAAACCACAGCCCATGAGTCAGCTGGACAGACTCAGCCTGTTATTTTTCCAGAGCTGCTGATCTCCAGTCCCAGGCTTCCTTCAGATTCCATGCTGATTGGCCTCAAAACCAAGGAGAGCAGAAATGGGCCTGGAGAAGCTGCCAGATTCGTCATGCAAGGCCAAATCCGTGTGCAGCGGAGAGGCCAGCATCTGCTCTGTTTTAGCAATATGGCAGATCATTCCTCACTACCTCTGTACAACTTTTAAAAACACCTACCCACTTGAAAAGATCAACTGCAATGAAATCTGGTGGAATAGAAGACACACTACTCAAGTGGGTGGATTAATTTCATTTTGTTTCAGGCATGGGGTGGGAAGTTATTCAACATGATAAACAGGATTCCATCTGCTAGGGGTTTTGTTTTGCTCAAAACCAACAAGATAGGGTTAGCAAAATCTGCCAGCAATGAGAGCAAAGGTTAGGGACATACTTTCTTAAAACTCACAAGCCCTCCTCCAGTTTTTAACAAGTGGCATGTGCAAGTTGATACAAAACAGAGGAGAATGTTCAAGCAACAGGTTAATTACTAACCATTAGAAAATGGAGTCCAGAGCAAAGTGCTTGGAAAAAATGAAAAACAATGAGACAGTAAATAGTTCAGTGTGAAAGGACATGAAACAGAATTTGTGTTGCTGGAAGTCAGAGAAGGGTGATAAACATACCAAGCCGACCTTTCCACCAAGCAATGCCTGCTCTGTAGCCCAAACAATCCACCCCAAAGCTAATTCTTGACATCTTCCCACCTCTTTGTTGAAAACCTAGTTCTCCCGTCTCTCCTACTCTATACCCTGCATAAACTATTGCCTGCATCCTCAGGCAGTGTCCACCTGACTGTTCTTTTCTACACTGGAGTTGAGATACACTGGTTTCCTTTCCTTCCTTTGCACAAACCCAGGAGACTCTTAGGTCTCAGGGATTTGGCACACACAGCTCTACCAGCATACTCTACTCTCAGCCCATTGCACCTGTCCCTTCAGTGGCTGACTTCTTTCACATGCTCTCCTCACCAAACTTGGTCTTGCTGAGAAGCCTGGCCACAGTAGGTTCCAAAATCTGTTTTTCCACATCTCATATACTTGGTCTCATGTTTTTATTTGTCATGGAGATGCTGTCTCATTTCTATTTTGTGTCTCATCTAACACAGAGCTGATCCAGCATAGTGTTGGATGAGCATTAAAATACGTGAAATGCTCAAATTGCAGTGGGCTGCTCATAAAACACATAAAACACAAAGAGAAAATGAACCAGACTTCTTAGGAGGAATAAAATTTCACATTGTCTCTTTATGAAGGAAACAACCTGAAAATCTTAACAAATAAAGAATGCTCTTTTCAGAAGCTAACATATACAGAGTTATGTGCCAGGTACTACTTTTGACTCAGTTTATTCTCAAAATATCTTTAGATAAACTATCACCCCCATTTCTGCACAGGAAGTAATAGGCACTGCTACAGTTCAGGTAGAGAATGTCCCCCAAAGCCTCATGTGCTCACAGGCAGGGCTTGTGGGGTGGGGGTTGGGTGCACTGTGCTCACCAGGTGGGGCCTGGTCAGAAGAGGCAGGACACTAGGGATGTGTCCTCCTTCTTTTTCTGCTTCCTGGCTGCCTTGAGAGCCGCTCCCCTCCACCCAGGCCCTTTCACCCAGCACTTCCTGGCCTGGAACAAGTGACAATGGACTATAATCCCTAACCAAAATAAACCCATCCTCCTTTAGGCAGTTTAAGTGTTAAGTACTGTGTCATAGTGATGAAGAAAGTGACTAAGGCATGGAAGAATGCTAGCTTGATCAAGGTCATAAAGCCAGTAATGTCTCAGCCAGGACCCATCCAAGCAGGCTGGCTCCAAAGCCCATGCTTTCACACCGCATCTGCAGTGCTCCTTGGGATAGCTCCATTCTCTCACTACCCACATATGCCTCAACTCCACAGAGAGGATTTCTTGTTTCCTCCAATCTACCAAAACTGATTCTTGCCCCATATGATTTTTCCATTGCTAACTCCAATGGAAACTTAAAATGTGATGAGAACCCTCATGGTTTAGTTCTTTCTCATTTATTATCAATAGCAACAACAACAAAAAGAATCCAGAGTCTCAGAAGCTTGAATGACCAGGACCTAAGCACACAATTTACCACAGGCTCCTAATCAGCTTCCTACTCCAGGACCAGCACTTACAGTTTCATCTTCCAGTTTGAGCTGGAGGCTCTTTTCTCCCTCTCTGTAGTCCTGGGTTAGTTCAGCTGAGCGCCACACTTCATCGGGGTCAGGAATCCAGACCCTTGTGTACTGAAAGATAAGGGAAGAAACTTAAGTACAAAGTGGAAACATTTACACTTCTAAACACATATCTAGCAGGGGTCATCAGGCAAACTTTTAAAGCCATCTGCATACGTCTTTCCTCCTTTTCATTTCAAGACACAAGGTGACCCAATATCATGATAGCAGATACATAACTCACAGGATAGCAGAGGGTACCTTCTAACTCTTAGAAAACATCCCAGATCAATGGAATTAGAATTCTGCCAAAGACCACTAAGCATACATTTGGTTATATCCACAAGGGCTTTGCATTATCCTCTCAAAAGAGTGGTTTAAAAAAAAAAAGAGAGAGAGAAGGCAATGTCAGAAGACCTAGCACGCTAAAAGCAACAAAGTCACACACACATGCATGCACACACACACACCAAGAGCTTAGAGCCAATCTTCACAGTTTGGGAAATCCTGCTTTGATATTCCGCATTCAGGGGTCAAGCCATTTTCCCACAGAAATAAAAGTGGTCAACAAATTCAACACATACTTCAGCATCCTAAGTTGTCAGCTACTTAAGATATCTTTGTGCATTCTTTGAGCCATAAAATCATCCACAATTCTGGCTCCACAGCCCCCAGTTGCTGTCTTGATTTGAAGACAGTCATTTAACCTGACCAAGTTCTAGGAGGAAAGAATACAGGCTTTCTTAGCAGGAAGACAGGGAGGAGTAGCCTTCAGTGACAGGCCACACATATCTCTACTTAGTCTGTTTCTCAGTCCTGACTACATGTTAGAATCACCCAGGAAGCTCTGAAAATATAAACTCTGGGTTCCATCTCAGACTAAATCAGGATCTGGTGTCACAGAAAAGGTCCTGGGAGGTCGAGGGACAAGCGTGTGCTGCTCTCAACTGCAGCATCTGGATCTACTACTGCCATCACTCCTGGTCTCACCCTGCTGCCAAATTTCTGAATTTTCCTCTCCCAGCTAAGGGATTTCCATGGGGCTCCTTTGCTTTAGAAGCTGTGTGTTTGTGTACATACATACATGCAATTTTTGTGCCACGGAGTATTCTCAGCAAACCTGAGACAAGTGTCACCTTTGACCAAAAGGTTAGCCACAGCGTATGTTTGGGTCAGACTAATCCACAACTGTCAGCTGAGTAATAGCTCTAAACACGGGCCTTAAGGCCAATCAGCTACCTATGCACAAGCAGCCAGCTGGCTTTATTTAGGTCCTACCACTTTTTAAAGACAGTATTTTCCTCCTGGTGGTCACTGGTGTTTGTGTTTGAAAGCAAACCCTGAGTTCTGCCACACTTGTCTCTAATTCACTATCAAGCAGTGAAAGTCCTAAGCCAATAAAATCAAAAGCTAATCAATGAGAAAGCAAACATCAACTCATTTATATCCTTCACATTTGAGCTCAGGGTAGGTGGCCAAAGTCATTTTTTTTTTCTGGCATTACAAAGAAAGACTCACAGAATCATAACCTTCTCCCTGTGTATTACAGTTATATTTACAGTAAGATACCATAACACTTTATAATATCAACTATACAGATACAGTGTTTGAGAGCTTCTAAGTAAAATATAATCTCCAGAGAAAGCTTTCTGAGCATTTGCCAACCTCAACTGTCAGCATTCCTTTTCTGATCGGGTGTTTTAACTGACCTTTCTCCATGATCATCTAAACTCACCACCCACTCAGCTACAACTTTAAGGTGCTAGGCTTTGGATTGAGTAGCCTTTCTTCAGCCTCACTACAGCTCTCTGGTCACTCTGCAGAATTATGTTCCTAGGACTTCCCCTCTGATCAGCACACCCAAGTTAAGTTTACCTAAAACAAAGTCTCCACTTGATGTAAATGATGCCAGGAATGGCTCAAAGTAACAGTTTGACAAATAAACATGGAAAAAACAGGAAATCCAAGCAGATACGGAGGTGTGGCCTCATGCGGCCTTCACCCCACTACCCATGTGCCATTTACCGCATAGTTAACTATAGCCAGCACTGGGAGAATCTGCTCCTGCCTACTTCCTCTGTTCAATTCCTACTTTGAGAGAGTGCATTTATCTTTTCAATTTATCTAAATCTCTCTTCTCAAAGTAGACTGAAAGTACCTAGCAGGCAGAAAATTGAGTTTTGTATTCGTCCATATTCACAGAACCTATAACAGCATCAAGGGTGTAGAAGATCGTAATGATACTACATTTAGCTGTTTGCTCCTTCCTACGAGAGCTTGGCATTACCATAACCTAGGAACATGTTAAGAATGCAGACCCTATAAGACACACATGAAGATATCAAATAGTTTCTCTGGTGTGAAAAACTAAAAGTGTAAATTGTATAACTGTATACAAATTGTATAAGTGATAATGTGAAATAGGAAGAAAGGGCTAAAGGTGTAGGGGAAGTGGGAAGGGTAGGGAAAAGGAAATAAGGGACAAGAAAAAATATGAGAAAAGGAAAAAATGGAAGCAAAGTCTTCGTAAATAGGAGAGTGTGGAGGGGGTGTAAGAAAGGCAGGGGTATGGGGAAAAAACGAGAACCAAGATCTGTCGTGTAAGGGTACAAGATCCCAATGATGTATATACTTAAAAAGTACCAATAAACTCAGTAAGATTTAAAAAAAAAAGAATGCAGACCCTGATCCTTCACCCAGATCCACTCAACCAGGACCTGCATGTCTGACCACTGTGTCTGATCCTGCGACATGGTCTCATACTTCTCCACCGGGGAATGGGTTGGCAAACTATAGCTATGAGCCAAAACTGGCACCATGCCTTTCTTGTACAGTTTCTGAGATTAAAATGGTTTTTAAACTTTCAAATGGTTAAAAAGATCAAAGGATAACATGAAAAAAATTACACAAAAGTCAAATTTCAATGTCTATAAACAAAGTTTTCCTGTAACACAGCCACACTCATTCTCATACTATGTATGGCTACTTTCGCACTTCAATTATACAGATGAGTTGTGACAGAAACCCTATGGCTCAAAGCCTATGTTATAGCTCATGTCTAAGATGTACCCTAAAAACTATGCAGTCACAGCTGGGGCTTTTTCAAAGGTAGCTGGATCTAGAGTGTGTAATTCTGGGATTGATTCTTGGTGCAATGCTAGGCTTAAGGGCACCAGGATCAAGAGTGTGAAAGCTACCTACCCTAAGTAGCCTGAATAAGATATAAGGGAAAGAAAGAGCTGTGGTTGCCTCCTCCTTTGTTGCTTTTGCTACCTTCTACCTGCCAGGAACTACTGCCACCCTGCCATGTGCCTGCTTTGGAACTCACCAATTTTGGACTGTAACCTCTACAAACTGTAAGCCAAATAAATCTTTCTTCTTTGAATTTTGGGTGTCAGGTATTATCTCAGCAGCTAGAAAACTAAGACTGCCTATATTTACTGTCTGGCCCATTACAGAAAGTACCAACAGAAAGGCCAAGTTCCACCTTGTACTTGCTACCTCTTCTGGCAGTATCCTTCTTTATCTGCCTGTGTTGGCAGAGTTCTAATTCTAGTACCACCTCCTCTAAGTCAGCCCTGCTTAATCATGAGGTGCCACAATAAACCCTTCCCTGGTTAGTTTCTTTCTGGCTCTTTCATTTCAGTTGCATCTCGTTTCTGTGAGGTTGTTCAGGTACACAATCAGGCATCTTTTTAAACCTTGGGACCCAGCACATCCTTATCACATAGCTAATGTTTGCTAAATTTTCACAAGCACAAAAACAATCAGTAGAATGTGTGTTTATGAAGCACTTAGTATATACCTAAAATACACTGTGGTAAGCCTCATGTGTACTCCAGTACAGTACAAACATGGAAATTTATTCCCTGAATGAACTTCAGCAACCTTTAATATCTAGTTGGGTAGATAATTCCAAAAAAATATTCTCTGATCAGGTGATGTGACCAGTTCCTAAGGAAAACTAACTACCCAGTTTGAGAAGGAAAAACAGGGTATGCAAAAAGTTAATGTCAACTTAGAGAGGAAGTGGGTAGCCAAAGTCTTAAATACTTTTTAGAGGGATATTGTATATGTAGACCTGATCAAGAAAGCCTTAGACTCAAATCCAGTAAACACTGACACCTACTGTGCATCTGCAGTGGGCCAGATGCCATCATACACTTCTTCAATATCTACATTAATGGCACTTGCAGATAATACATTGAGGTTATAGGAGTTCACTGTTAAACCACCAGAATGATGCTAACCCTCTGTTCTGAGAGCACAGGGCAGTTGTCATCTTCAGCCTCCACACCAGCTCCCATCTGCTTCTTGCTTCACTTTTATCCTACTTCATGGATTCTGAGCCTGAAGCTCCCAGTGGGCAAGGCTGTTAACTCAAAGTCATGTTACCACATATAATGAGTGATTTAGTGGGTAATCCAAGGGTAATCTACCCATAATCAAATTTCACATGCTGGCTTTGCAGACAATCACCCACCATTCCTTCCTACCCTCCACAAGATCCATCCACCCCAAGGAAGATGCAGAGCCTCCAAAGCAGTGTATGATCAGTGCAAATTAAACACCAAGAGACACACACAGAGAAACTAATGAAGGGAAAGACAAGCACAAAACTAGAAAGCAAAGTCCTAAGGATGGAAGAAAGATATGTCTGAGCTTCAGAGATTAATGATTTGGAAGGGACGGATTTCCTTTCAGAGTAAGAAAAATGTAACTAGGAAAAAGTGATGGTCATGCAGTATGAATGTACTAAATGCCATTGAATTGTTCAGTTTTATATTTTGTGACTTTCCCCTCAATTTAGAAATAAACACACCACACTCACTGTGAGTGCAAGAGTGCAAATAGTACCTTGTATACCCTCTCCTTCCATGGCTACTAGCCTATGGGAGAAACAGTAAGATAAAATATATTCTCACAGAAGGTTATTTTATGAGCCAGAGGGAAATGCTCTAGAACTAAGGTTCTGAGTTGCCTCTTAATTTTTCTCACCTTCAAGGTATTTCTTTGAACAAATCTGTCCCCTGTCAGCTTTACTATAAGGCAGCAGACTGTTGAAAAGACAA